TCCCTGCACCTGTCCCTCGTACATTCCTGGGGTCATGTGATGTTTGTTTCGGCTCAAACCAGTTCAACTGTTGGGTCCAAGTCTTACGTAACACCAGTCACTAACACTCCTCTCCACTCATCCATCTCTCTCTCTCTCTCTCTCCACTCATCCATCTCTCTCTCTCTCTCTCTCCACTCATCCATCTCTCTCTCTTCATCCCCTCCATCATACCACTTCCCTCGTCTCTCTCTCTACCCCTCTCCACCTACACACACTTCCTCCTCCCTCTCTCTCTCTCTTTCCTTTTCTCCTCTGCTTTTCTTTCTCTTCTCTTCCCTCTTTTCTCCCACTACCTCTTCTCTCTCTCCTTTTTTCCCCTCTCCCCTCCTCTTCTCTTCGTCTCTTCTCTTACCTCTCTCCCTTTCTTCCTCTTCTCTTACCTCTTCTCTCCTCTCTTCTCTTCCCTCGCTCTCTGTACTCCTATTTCCTCCTCCTCCTCCTCTCTCTTCCCCTCTTTCTCCTCTTTCCTACTTCCTCTCTCCTTCTCCCCCTCTTCTCTTCTCCTTCCTCTCTTCTCTTCCCTCTCTTTCTCTCTCCTCCTTCTCCTCCCTCTCTCTTCCCTTCTTTCTCTCTCTCTGTTGGATTGTGGACTTTCCAGTTTCAGGAGTCGCTCCACAGTTTCTCAGTCACAGAAAAAACACAACAACACGACACGTGTACTGACCTGTGTACTGTCTGAAGTACTGTGTGTACTGCTGACTGTGTACTCCTGTGTGTGACTGTACTGTCTGAAGTACTGTGTGTACTGACCCTGTCTGAAGTACTGTGTGTACTACTGTGTACTGACCTGTGTACTGTCTGAAGTACTGTGTGTACTGACCTGTGTACTGTCTGAAGTACTGTGTGTACTGTGACCTGCTGTGTACTGTCTGAAGTACTGTGTGTACTGTACTGACCTGTGTACTGTCTGAAGTACTGTGTGTACTGACCTGTGTACTGTCTGAAGTACTGTGTGTACTGACCTGTGTACTGTCTGAAGTACTGTGTGTACTGACCTGTGTACTGTCTGAAGTACTGTGTGTACTGACCTGTGTACTGTCTGAAGTACTGTGTGTACTGACCTGTGTACTGTCTGAAGTACTGTGTGTACTGACCTGTGTACTGTCTGAAGTGTACTGTACTGTGTACTGACCTGTGTACTGTCTGAAGTACTGTGTGTACTGACCTGTACTGTGTAAGTACTGTACTGTGTGTACTGTGTACTGTGTGTACTGACCCGTGTACTGTCGGAAGTACTGTGTGTACTGACGTACTGTGTGACTGTGTACTGTCTGAAGTACTGTGTGTACTGACCTGTGTACTGTCTGAACCTGAAGTACTGTGTGTACTGACCTGTGTACTGTCTGTCTGAAGTACTGTGTGTTACTGACCTGTGTACTGTGTACTGAACTGTACTGTGTGTACTGACCTGTGTACTGTCTGAATGTACTGTGTGTGTACTGACCTGTGTACTGTCTGAAGTACTGTGTACTGTGCCTGTACTGTCTGAAGTACTGTGTGTGTACTGTACTGTGTACTGTCTGAAGTACTGTGTGTACTGTGTGTCTGTGTTGAACTGTGTACTGTGTTGTGTACTGACCTGTACTGTCTGAAGTACTGTGTGTACTACTGTGTGTACTGACCTGTGTACTGTCTGAAGTACTGTGTGTACTGACTGACTGTGTACTGTCTGAAGTACTGTGTGTACTGACTGTGTGTACTGTCTGTGTACTGAAGTACTGTGTGTGTACTGACCTGTGTACTGTGTGTACTGTGTGTACTGCGCAGTACTTCAGACAGTACTTCAGACAGTACTTCAGACAGTACTTCAGACTGTGGTGATAGTTTAGAGCTGAGGTCATGGACATTACTTGGGCGTGATGCTAATTTGAGGCACTTGTCTGTCTGAAGCTCTGTCTCACTTTAATCTGACCTTTAATTTAATTTAATTTAATTCAGTCTGACCAGAAAGAGCTGACTCATCAAATTCCTCAACAACACAAACATGAAATAAAAAAACAAACACACACATCACACGATATCACACGAAACCTCAAACGTGCTCTTCACTTTAGTATTTTTTTGTAAAACCTTTCTGACTTCACCATCGTCTGCACTGTGTCACCATGGAAACAGCTGAACATTCCACCACAGAGGCACACGTAGAGCTCCCCCGGCTGAGTAAGGGTGAGACGTACCTTGAGCTTCTTGTTGAGTTTGCAGCAGTATCTGTAGAGCATGGCCAGGTTCAGGGGCCCGAAGTCGGCGTAGAAACTGAAACAGGACCAAACAAAACCGAGTCAACACCACAACAACAACAAATATCAAGAGAAATCATGGTTAAGATATTTAAGAATCTATAATCCAGAAATATAAAGTTAAAACCACACTTTGAAACATAGAGATAGACACGTTTAAACCCACTGTGGAAGATTAAAGTCAGACAAAGAAGAGTTTGTGGAGATGCGAGCGCGTTCAGAGTGAGGACGCATGATTTCCAGTGCAACCAAAAAAATAAAGAATAGGCTACAGTCAGACTTTTGTGAAATCCGATGTTTTTTTGAGGTCGTTCACATTTCCAGTTAAATGTGACTTGTATGTGACTCCAGTGTGAACATTAAACGGTCCAAAAGTGTCCCACATGTGACACTGGAGACACGACGACGTCAACCGCAGCGAGCGTCTCTGTGTTTACACAAGTTGTCCAAACATGGACGCAGCATCGAGCACCTGGAGATTTTAAAGTTCCTCTCGTACCGGAGCCACAACATGAACAACTGACTTGTTTTAAGGAGGAGATTGAGAAGGAGAAGGACGAGGTTTTTGGTCGTGGTGTTTTGTGATGAGTGGAGATGTGCTTCACTTCAGTCACATGGAGTTCATTAACAATTTTCGTCTGACGAGAAGAACGTTTGTGGACATTTGTGAGCGTCGACTTGTGTCACTCTCGCAGGAGGAAACATGTCTTTGGCGGCTTATTTCGGCGTTGGGCTGTATTGGCTTTCAACAGGTGCTTGTTACCGCACAACAGCCGACCTCTTTGGCACAGTCAAGTCCACCGTGTGATGACGTGTAGGTGGATGAATGCACCTTGACCTTTCACACTGAAGTCACATGTCCAAAGATCAGATATGTATCGGTTTCAGGAGCACAGGTCCAAGTGTCCTGGGTCACATTTGATAAAATCAGATCTGTGTCGTTCAGACTGTCATTAAAAGATCAGATACTGGTAGAGGTGTGCAAAAATATCGGAATATCGATATATCGTATAGTTTAATGTGATGATACAGTATCGATATCGTGGGCTGCTGTATCGAAATATCACCACGAGTATTTTTAGGTGTGTTTTACTAAATTATTTTGTTCCAGCTACAGTTTTGTTGCTTGTGGAGTGAAAGGAAACTCATTTATGCGACACATTTGACATTTTCACTGTTTTGATGATTAAAATGTTTGTGTTTCATATGAACTTTGCACAGGACGTGATTTAACGAAGACTTTTAGTATCACAGCCACGATTTAGCCTTTTTTTTATTGAACTGTATCAAATTGATTTGAAATATATCATATCGAATCGAAAGTGCACTGTATCGAGACATGTATCATATCGTGGCCTGTGTATCGAGGTTTAAATCGTATCAGCAACTCCTTAATGATACCAGCCCTAGATACAGGTCACATAGGGGCCAAAAAAATCAGATTTGGGTCAGTTCGGGCTGCAGTCTGAACGTCGCCCAAGTTGCTTTAAAACCATGAGTTCAACTGTATAATCTACCAATGACTGCACAGAGAAAATACTAAACAATCTGTCCCATTCTCAGTGAGACTAGAGAAGAACTCAGCATCAACTGTGTGCTCCAGTCTGTGTGAGCGACACAAACTCTCACAGTGCACAGTGCACACACTCCACTTCATCCATGTCGGGGGGAGGACTGTTTCTGTTTTACACAGAGAGAAACTCTTTACATTTTCATTCATCATAAACTGTCTTTAAAACCGTTTGAGTCGATATAATCACATTTAAACTGTTCAGTTTAAGATTATTTTGACAGGGTAATTGCCTCATGATCCTGCTCAAAGGTAAAACTGTTTCATAATTATCTTTGAATTCACGATTTTGCAATTTTAATAAATCTCAGTCATTAGAAAGACAAAGTGAAACACCCAGTCTTAATCACAATAAAGTCAACAGAACAGGTCGTGTTCTCGACTCTCAGGTGTGTCCAGGTGAGGCCTCACCTCTGCTGCAAACTCGGGGAAAGTTTAAGGAACAACAAACTTTTTATTTTAGAAGAAGCTGCTGCTCTAAACGGCCCGTTACTATGGTTACCTAAATCCAGTCCAATCCACTTTATTTCTATCGCACATTTCACAAACAGTTTCCAAAGTGCTGCACAAATACATAATAAAAACAACAATAAAATGATCAAATAAACTACTAAAATATTCATACTCGTCTTAAAATAATAAAAACAGTAAAATAAAATAAGAGCAAAATCACAGAATAGCAATAAATAAATAAAACCAATAAAATACATAAAAAAATTAAAAAACAAAAAGACTTTTATGAGACTTTTTGTTTATTAAAGGAGTCAGAGCAGATTTATAGTTCAGTCAAAACACAAAACAATCTGAATTCACATTAAATCACCATTAACAATCAAACTATTTCTTATAATAATAAAATGTGCAGTGAGTCAAGTAAAAACATCAAAATATCGTATCGTTTAATGTGATGATACAGTATCGATATTGTGGGCTGCTGTATCAATATATTGAGTATTTTTTTGGTTTATTTTACTAAATTATTTAGTTACAGCTACAGTTTTTTTGCTTTAATGTCAATTTCTTCACATGTTCTAAACACACAACAGAAGTGAAATTAGTTTTGGAGTTTTGTTGTTTGTTTAGGTCAGGTTAGGTTGTTTAGGTTTTCTCTTTTTTCGAAATATGTCACGTTAAATCTTTTCTTATTCAAATAAATGTTTAATAATATTTTTGCTTAAACACTGAATCCAGAACAAACAGAATATAAAATAATAACAGTTTAAATAAATCGTGTCTCTGTAGTCGATGTGTATCCGGTGTGCAGCTCTGTTACAGATTTGAGTTGATCTCGTGGGTCAAATTTGACCCCTGGGCCTGAGACGTGTCTGACTCAGAGGAAGGAAACTCGTTTATGCAACACATTTGACATTTTCACTGTTTTGAGGATTAAAAAGTTTGTGTTTCCTGTAAACTCTGCACAAGACGTAGTTTAACAAAGACTTTTACTATCACACACATGATTTACACTTGATTTTTATTGAACTGTAGTGAATCAATTTGAAATAAATTGAATCAAAAGTTCACTGTATCGAGGTTTGAATCGTATCGACACATTTTTAATGATACCAGCTCTGCACATGTCCATATAAACCCCATATGACAGTATTTGTAATAGCAGTAGTATTTGTACTAGTAGTAGTTGTAGTAGTAGTAGTAGTAGAAGTAGCAGTAGTAAAAGTAGCAGTATTTGTAGTAGTAGTAGTAGTAGTAGTAGTAATTGTAGTAGTAGTAGTAGTAGTAGTAGTAGTAGTAGTAGTAGTAGTAGTAGTAGCAGTAGTAGTAGTAGTAGTAGTAGTAGTAGTAGTAGTAGTAGTACTAGTAGTATTTGTAGTAGTTGTAGTATTTGTAGTAGTATTTGTAGTACTATTAGTAGCAGTATTTGCAGTAGTAGTAGTATTTGTAGTAGTAGTAGTATTTGTAGTAGTAGTTGTAGTATTTTGTAGTAGTAGTTTTGTAGTATTGTAGTAGTAGTAGTAGTTGTAGTATTTGTAGTAGTAGTTGTAGTATTTGTAGTAGTATTGTAGTATTTGTAGTAGTATTTTAGTAGTTTTAGTAGTAGTATTTGTAGTAGTATTTATGGTATAGTAGTATTTATAGTATTTATAGTAGTATTTGTAGTATTTGCAGTAGTATTTGTAGTAGTATTGTAGTAGTAGTATTTATAGTAGTATTATAGTAGTGTAGTATGTAGTATTTGTAGTAGTATTTAGTATAGTATAGTTGTATTAGTAGTATTTAGTTAGTATAGTAGTAGTATTTTAGTAGTATTTGTGTAGTAGTATAGTAGTTGAACTCACTTCTCGTAGACGAACTCGTCGTTGGTGCAGAAGTAGTGTGTGTAGTATTTGTAGTAGTATTTGTAGTAGTAGTATTGTAGTTGAACTCACTTCTCGTAGACGAACTCGTCGTCGGTGCAGAAGTAGTGTGTGTAGTATTTGTAGTAGTATTTGTAGTAGTAGTATTGTAGTTGAACTCACTTCTCGTAGACGAACTCGTCGTCGGTGCAGAAGTAGTGTGTGTAGTATTTGTAGTAGTATTTGTAGTAGTAGTATAGTAGTTGAACTCACTTCTCGTAGACGAACTCGTCGTCGGTGCAGAAGTAGTGTGTGTAGTATTTGTAGTAGTATTTGTAGTAGTAGTATAGTAGTTGAACTCACTTCTCGTAGACGAACTCGTCGTCGGTGCAGAAGTAGTGTGTGTTGGCTGTGCTTTTGGGTTTACTCCTCAACGTGGCGAAGTACAAACGCTCTGAAAAACGACAAAAACAAACACAACATCAACAACATCACACTCACACGTCTGAACGCCCAACAAATACACCCAGATGCCCTCCCATCCTCTTCCCATCCTCCCATCCTCCTCCCATCCTCCTCCTCCTCCCGTCCTCCTCCCCCGTCCTCCTCTCCTCCTCCCGTCCTCCTCTCCTCCTCGTCCTCCTCCTCCTCCTCCTCCCCGTCCTCCTCCTCCTCCTCTCCGTCCTCCTCCCGTCCTCCTCTCCTCCCGTCCTCCCCTCCTCCTCCCGTCCCTCCTCCTCCTCCTCCTCCTCCGTCCTCCTCCCGTCCTCCTCCTCCTCCCGTCCTCCTCCTCCTCCCATCCTCCGTCCTCCTCCGTCCTCCTCCTCCTCCCTCCTCCTCCCGTCTCCTCCTCCCGTCCTCCTCCTCCTCCCATCCTCCCGTCCTCCTCCCCGTCCTCCTCCTCCCTCCTCCTCTCTCCTCCCGTCCTCCTCCTCCTCCCCCTCCTCCTCCTCCTCCTCCCTCCCGTCCTCCTCCTCCTCCTCCCCGTCCTCCTCCTCCTCCCGTCCTCCTCCTCCCTCCTCCTCCCGTCCTCCTCTCCCCGTCCTCCTCCTCTCCTCCTCCCGTCTCTCCTCCCCCTCCCTCCTCCCGTCCTCCTCTCCTCCCGTCCTCCTCTCCTCCTCTCCTCCTCCCGTCCTCCTCCTCCCGTCCTCCTCTCCTCCCGTCCTCCGTGTAAATTTCTGTTTCATGTTTTTTCATCACACCGTAGTTTGTGATTCATTTGCTTTTGTTTGTGAACATCATGTGCTGTTACTGTGAGCCGGGTCGCCTCTCCGCAGATCTGACCCGCCTGTTTTCATGGAGATTGACAAATAGGAGACACGACCTTCACACAGTTCTGCTTTAAAGGCCCTTTTTAGGCGATTTTCTGCTCTGTTCTAATGTTGTTCCTTGTCACAAACAGACCTGGAGTTGTGTTTTCTTTGCGTTTCCGACACTTTGTGATGTCATGCGGTGAAACGCCAAGTACTCCACTGTGTTTTAAACTCCATTCTCTAGATTTCCTCAGGTGGTTTCATTCCAGGAACTGCCGATCTCCAGCAAACTAAAGGTAAAAGGAGCTGTTCACTTGAAAACTACCACTTCATGACATCACACAGCTCCAGGTCTGTTTTTAGAAACGACTTGAAGCTCACGAGAGTCAGTTTTGTGTAATAAAAGATCTTTAAACACAAATCCCCCAGTCTGTTCAGTACTCGGGCTGTGCAAAAATATTGAAATATCGATATATTGTATCATTTAATATGATGATACAGTATCGATATCGTGGGCTGATGTATCAATATTCAGGAGTCCCACTTTTTTTCAAAATGTAAAAACATTTCCATGACTGTGTGGATTAGTTTAGTTTAGTTTATTAAGATTCCATCAGCTACTGAAACATCAGTCACTCCTCAAATTCATTACATAGAAATTGTTATATAACACATAAACTTCACACACAGACATCACACACACACACACACACACACACACACACACACACACACACACAGCACACACACACACACACACACACAGACACACACACACACACACACACACACACAGACACACACACACACACACAAGACACACACAGACACACACACACAGACACACACACACACAGACACACACACACACACAGACACACACACAGACACACACACACACACACACACACACACACACACACACACAGACACACACACACACACACACACAGACACACACACACAGACACACACTCACACACACACAGACACACACACACACAGACACACACACACACAGACACACACACACACACACAGACACACACACACACACACACAGACACACACACACACACACAGACACACACACACACAGACACACACACAGACACACACACACACACAGACACACACACACAGACACACACACAGACACACACACACACACACAGACACACACACACACACACACACACATGGCACACACACACACAGACACACACAGACACACACACACAGACACACACACACACACACACACACACAGACACACACACACACACACACACACACACACACAGACACACACACACACACACACACAATAACAAGACATGAAAGCTCAATGTAAAGGAAAAGTAATAAATAAAATGTAAAATCATGGGTATTTGAGAAAAACACTAATTTATTATAAATTATTTCTGGGATTTTAGTTAAAATAAAAGGTGTTCCCAGGCCAGTCCAGAGACACAGTCCCTCCAGTGTGTCCTGGGTCTTCCCCGGGGCCTCCTCCCGGTGGGACATGAACACCTCCTGAGGGAGACGCCCAGGAGACATCCAGAACAGATGCCCGAGCCTGAACTTTTATTTCTAATAAAAGTTAATAAATGGTACTTGAGTCTGCATTTTACAGTCAACCAGGGAAACTCCTCGTGCATTATGATTCTATTATTTCTGTACGTGCAGCTCAAAACAAGCCAGGCTGCTTTATTCTGAGCGACTTGTAACCTGTACAAGTTATTTTCACATGTGTTTGACCAAATGACAGATGCATAATCCATCTGAGAAAGAACTAATGACTGTACTAGATTTTTGAGCGACCACTGTGGGAGACATTTTCTACAATGCATATGTACAACTACACTTTGAGTAAAACAAGAGAGAAGTATTTTTCGGACATTATTGGTAATTGCAGTAACAACTCTCGTGTCCTGTTTGCAACAGTGAACAGATTAACAAACCCTCCAGCTCCACTGCCACAAGAACTAATTTCCACATCTAAATGTAATGAGTTTGCAGTTTTCTTTAATGACAAAGTTCAGGGCATCAAAAATGCCATCAATTCCACAACACAAATAACAAGCTGCAGCCACAGAGACACTTAGAGCTGAATCACTTTGCACCTGTAACTGACAAAACTGTTTTAGAGATCGTTACCAGTCTGAGTTCATCTACTTGCTGCCTGGACATGTTACCCACTAGATTTCTAAAGTCTGTCCTCAACAGTTTACTTTCACCACTCACTCACATAGTGAACATGTCACTTCAATCTGGAACATTCCCAAATGCATTGAAAACTGCGGTCATTAAGCCTCTCCTAAAGAAGAGCAGTCTTGATGCCACAGTACTGAACAATTTCCGACCCATCTCAAATCTGCCGTTTTTTGGCAAAGTCCTTGAAAAAGCTGTTTACCAACAGCTTACGAACTTTCTCCAAATGAACAACTCCTTTGATGTTTTCCAGTCAGGTTTTAGAGCCTCCACAGCACTGAGACTGCTCTTATCAAGGTGACAAATGACATCCGCCTGAACACTGATGCAGGCAAAGTCTCAGTCTTGATCCTGTTAGATCTGAGTGCTGCTTTTGACACTGTCGATCATGGGATCCTCTTACAGAGACTAGAGGACTGGGTGGGCATCTCTGGTACTGTACTAAACTGGTTCAAGTCCTATCTAGAAGACAGGAAGTATTTTGTTGAAATTGTAAACTGTGTCTCAGATCACATGGCCCTGACCTGTGGGGTGCCTCAGGGGTCAATCCTGGGCCCCCTGTTGTTCAATCTCTACATGCTGCCATTAGGCCAGTTAATAAGCAGCAATAACGTGTCGTACCACAATTATGCAGACGACACTCAGATCTACGTCTCTCTGGCAGCAGGAGACTATGGACCAGTGGAGTCACTTGGTCACTGCATCCAACAGATCAGTGTGTGGATGCAAAACAACTTTCTCCAGCTAAACTCTGACAAGACTGAAGTCATAGTGTTTGGTCCACAGAAACAAAGGGACAGTGTCAGCATCACCTCCAGTCTCTCTCTCTAAAACCTTCAAATCAGGCAAGAAATCTCGGGGTAATAATGGACTCAGACTTGAACTTTAACAGCCACATCAAATCAATAACATCTGCAGCCTTTTACCATCTAAAAAACATAGCAAAAATCAAAGGTTTACTGTCTAAATCAGACTTGGAGAAACTTATCCATGCGTTTGTCTCCAGTAGGTTAGATACTGTAATGTTCTGCTCACTGGTCTCTCCAAACGAGCTGTGAGACGCTGCAGAACATCCAGAACATCCAGAACATCCAGAACATCCAGAACATCCAGAATGCTGCAGCTCGGGTCCTTACTTGGACTAGGAAGTACGAGCACATAAGTCCTGTGCTCAGGTCTCTGCTCTGGCTCCTGTGGCTCAGAGAATAGACTTTAAAGCAGCTCTGTTTGTACAAGTCTCTCCATGGCCGAGCACCAAAGTCCATCTGTGACATGTTAGTGTCATATGAACATCTCACACTCTGAGGAGCTCAGGGACCGACCTCCTGCTGGTGCCCAGAGTCACGACGACTAAACAAGGGGAGTCAGCGTTTCAGGTTCATGCAGCTAAAACCTGGAACAGTCTGAACATGTGAGACAGACTCTTCTGTGACGCTGTTTAAATCCAGACTCAAAACATTTCTGTTTAACTGTGCAAATAACTGAAAGGTTTTCATTCCGCACTCTTCTCTCCAATTTATGTCTCTCTTTTTTAATTTTAATCTTCATGATTATTTATGTTTTGATTTGTTTTTATTATGATTTTAATGTATTTCTTATTCTGTAAAGCACTTTGAATTACTTTGTGTACGAATTGTGCTATACAAATAAACTTGCCTTGCCTTGCCTTACAGTGTCTGATCATGCCCAGACTACGACCCATTTTCTTCAGTACGTGATCTATATGACTGCTCCTATGTTCATTTAGAGTCCACTATTACACCCAATAATTTTATTGAATAATTGATCAGACTTTTAGGGTTAAATCTGAAATGTTTAACTCTTTCCTCTCATTTTATGGTTTGGGATTATAGTTTTTGAACATTTTAAATCCTGTCAGTGAATTTATCGTCGTCTCTTTTAAACAAAAGACTCAGACGTTCACAAATAATCAGAACAGACTCATGAGAACTTAACAGAACACTGGAGCCCTATACTGTATATCGTATCGTTTAATGTGATGAGTATCGATATCATGAGCTGCTGTATCGATACATCACCAAGAGGATTTTTTGGTGTATTTTACAAAATTATTTTGTTACAGCTCCAGTTTTGTTGCTTGTTTAGTGGAATAAAACATTTTTATGCGACACAATCAACATTTTCACTGTTTCTGCGATTAAAATTGACATGTTTCATATGAAGTTTGAACAAGAAGTGATTTAACAAAGACTTTTAGTATCAGAGCCACAGTTTATCCTTTATTTATTACTGAACTGTATCGAACTGATTTGAAATATGTCGTATCGAATCGTACTGAATCGAATGCTCACAGTATCGAGATATGTATCGTATCACGGTCCAAGTATTGAGGTATGTAACATATCGGCAACTTTTTAATGTTATTTAGCCCTATATATCATATCATTTAATGCGATTATACAGTATCGATATCGTGGGCTGCTGAATCGATATATCGCCAAGGGTATTTTTTTACAGTTTTATTGCTTGTTTAGTGCAACAAAACTTTTTTTATGTGACACATTTGCCATTTTCACTGGTTTGATGATTAAAAAGTTTGTATTTCATAAGAACTTTGCACAAGAAGTGGTTTAACAAAGACGTTTATGTCGTAATGAATGAATCGTATCAGCAACTTCTGAATAATCCCCAGCTCTATTCACTACAGTTGTATACTTATGTCATAGTTTAATCAATTATCAATGGTGTGATTCGAGTTTGAGAAAAACCTCGTGAGAAAATTCCTCAACTTTTACACATTTTATAATTAGTTGCACTTTGTTGACGCGCAGCCACGCAACAGTGTTTACAGGAACGCCCATTTATATCCCTAAGAATCTGGCTTTTCCACTTAGACGAAGTTTGACCAATGTTGAAAATGATCAGTTTTGGAGTGAACAGAGCCAAAGTTCTGCCAGAATTTCTTTCACTTCCTAAAACGTGACTTTAGTTTTGGCACCGCGCTGCTCCTCCGCGCGTGTCCGGGCTGCAGCGCTCCCTCCCCGGCTTCACTCCCGTCTTTACCTCGGATAAACTCTGCTGCTCCCATCAGCTCCGAGTCCTCGCCGGTCTTGAAGAGCGCGGACAGGATCGGGGCGTGCCGTATGCCCTCCCCGCTCATGGTCCCGTCCTCTCCACCCGCTCTCCGCGCACTTTTTCCGGGCTTCTTCCTCCAGCGGCTCCGGAGCGGCTGCGGTTAGCCGTTAGCTCCAAGTTAGCACCGCGGCTAACTTAAACAGCCCGCAGACGCTGTTTAAAAGTTGTAAAAGTTCGTGTTTATCCGCCCATGGCTCGCTCCGGCGGTTCCTCGGGGGTCGGGCGTTACTTGTGGTACTTTCCTCCGGGTAGTTTTGGGGTTTTGGGGGCTCAGGTCGCTCGGGTTTAGCATGTTTCGGCTCGGCGCGGACTCGGGGCGCGGAGGTGAATCTGAGCGGACTGAAGCTCTGATTGAGCCGATCCCTCCTTAAGACACGTTACTATGGCAACGGCGGGGGGGCGGGACAGACGCGGCGGCGGCCAATCAGAAGGCGAGACCGAGGAGGAGCGGCCAATCAGAGGGGCGGGAGTGGAGGCTCCGGCTTCCACGGTCCGCTGTTCAGATCTGTGACGAATTTAGGATAAAAGTTGTGTTGTGTATTTTAGTGTTTCCCAACTATTTTCTGGGAACCATATTTTAAAAGTCACAAACCTTTGCGACCCAAGTCAACAGACATTATTTGTAAATCACAAAATAAACGTTATTGAACATTAATTAGGATATTTTATTGTTGACTGAATGATCGTTTACTCAAGTTTTAAACAATAAAGCCTGAAAGTGAGAAACACAATTTCATTTCTTTTTGTTTTTTGCAGGAAGAATTAACACTAAACGTTTTGGAACTTTGAACCTGAAATGACTAAACCCCGCTCCAAAATGTTTGTTATTATGGCAGAAAACTGGAAGATTTAAGTAGAAAACGCCAGAACAAGTGCAATAATTCCACCAAGTGGATTTCCTCAAGTGGAGTTCAAGTATCTCGGGGTCTTGTTCTCGAGTGAGGGGAGGAAGGAGCGTGAGATTGACAGGTGGACAGGTGGACAGGTGCAGCGTGGGCAGTGATGCGGTCGCTGTATCGAACCGTTGTGGTGAAGTAAGTAAGTAAGTCTTTATTTATATAATGTTTTCACAGACATTTTCTGTCCCCAAAGACGCTTTACAGAGCATTATTCAGTATTATTCATTCACTCTATTCCCTGATGATGGTAAGCAACTATTGTAGCCACAGCTGCCCTGGGGCACACTGACAGAAGCGCAGTGAAGAGGAGCTGAGTCGAAAGGTGAAGCTCTAGATTTACCGTCAGTCTTTGTTCCTACTTTCACCTCTGGTCATGAGCTCTGGGTTGTGACCGAAAGGACAAGATACAAGCGCTCGAAATGAGTTTCCTCCACAGGGTGTCTGGGCTCCCTTAGAGACAGGGTGAGGAGCTCAGTCACACGGGAGGAGCTCGGAAGTAGAGCCGCTGCTCCTCCACGTGGAGAGGAGCCAGTTGAGGCTCGGGCGTCTGTTCTGATGTCTCCTGGACGTCTCCCTCAGGAGGTGTTCATGTCCCACCGGGAGGAGGCCCCGGGGAAGACCCAGGACACACTGGACGGACTGTGTCTCTGGACTGGGAACACCTCGGGTTCCCCCGGAGGAGCTGGAGGAAGTGTCTGGGGTGAAGGAAGTCTGGGAGTCCCTGCTTAGACTGCTGCCCCCACAACCCGACCCCGGATAAGCGGAAGAAAATGGATGGATGGAAGTGCAATAATTGACCAGCAGGGGGCAAAATAAATGATTAAAGACTCATATGGAACAACAGCAGAAAGGAGGAGTTGTCATGTTTAATCCTAGTGCTTTTTTCCTGCAGAAATAGTATTTTTTACCTGAGCGCCCCCTGCAGGTGTGGTCCTGTCAGTGCAGTTTGGGTCAGATCACAGAGACGTGTTGTAGTTTTGAGAGTGTTTAGAGGATTCCATCGGTGTGGGGGAGTCCTGTGTCTGTGTCGCAGTTTAAATCCTGTGTCGCTCTAACGGCTCGTCTCTCAAACTCGACTGAATTATTCACGGCTCTGACCTCCAGTCTGTGTCTTTATTGTTTGAGTTTGGACACTGAGCTCTGAGAACATCACCAGACTCCTCCCCTCTGCGGCTCTCACACCTGGTTTGGTTAAAGCAGTATTGTGTAACTTTCTTGGAGGCACAACATTTTTCGCAGGTACAGATACTAAAAAAATCCCATTTTCAGAACAGAGCAGAATGTTTCCTGAATGTGTTTAGAACAATCTGGAACTGGATCAGAACAAGAATAAAACACAGAGACTAAAACACACACACGGACCTGGTTTAGTCCTGGTTTAGACCTGGTTTAGTCCTGGTTTAGTCCTGGTTTAGACCCGGTTTAGACCTGTTTTTGTCCTGGTTTAGTCCTGGTTTAGACCCGGTTTAGACCTGGTTTAGACCTGGTTTAGACCTGGTTTAGACCTGGTTTAGTCCTGGTTTAGACCCGGTTTAGACCTGTTTTTGTCCTGGTTTAGTCCTGGTTTAGACCTGGTTTAGTCCTGGTTTAGACCCGGTTTAGACCTGTTTTTGTCCTGGTTTAGTCCTGGTTTAGACCTGGTTTAGACCCGGTTTAGACCTGGTTTAGACCTGGACCACTGAGTGATCACGCAGTTATAAGGACACATGGGAATAGAAAAAAAAATTCGACCATTTAATGAGGAAAATCACTGCAGATTGCCTAAAGAAAGAGGATTTTTGTTTTCATCGTGGTATAAGAATCGGTATTTAGTACGGCAAACCGATATTCTCGGTCGATATGGGCACTTGGAGACATCAGCTATCAGCCTAAATCTTGCTGATCTGGGCCGATAGTCGACGTGGGCAGGTTATACCTCATTATGAAGCTTAAACTCTCTATATTATGTTTATTTAATCCAATTTACAAACACATAAATATCACAATATGTGACACCTCATCTATATTTATCACAGGAGTCATTTGTCTGTATGTGTGACGCTGTACTGTCCCTGAACAGAATCAGAATCAGAATTTATTTGTCATTTCAGTATAAAAAAAAACAACACAGAAATGAAATACTGCACTCAGGTCCAGGTCAAGAGCAGCATAGATATTACATGCACCACCAGAGTCATGTGTTCTTTTGGTTCTTTCTCGTTGTTTATCTGCTGCAGCTCCACATAAACACTCTGTTTTCGGACATAGTTCTCGTGTAAAGTGTTTATAGTGTCTGTACATGTGACTGGAGCTGCACTGATGTAAATGAGCTGTGAATAAAGGTGTGAATGATCGGCATTTACAAATATCATTAATTACCACGGTGCATTTACGATAACACGAAAGACTAATAGCAGCAGCTTTTACTTTGTTTACTTGCAAGAATGTACGGAAGCCGAGAGGGGTCACAACAAACGCAAACGCAACAACAAATACAAATGCGACAACACAACAAAAAGTCACAACAAACCAAAAAAAGCTGCAACGGAAATGACCGCGGGACTTTATTTTAATGCAAACGCCGCAACAAATACAAACGCCACAACACAAAAGCAAATGTTGCAACACATCAAAAAGCCACAACGGACTCTATTTTCCGACGGACCGATTAAGCGTCAAGTGAAGAAGAAGAACGACAACGTGAAAAGTAAAGGAACGGAGAAGTTGGAAATATAAGTAAAGTAATGTATTGTTTTATCATTATTTGTTTCACATTGTAGTTCGTCCGTCAGAAAATAGAGTCCCGCGGTCATTTCCGTTGTGGCTTTTTGTTGTGTTGTGGCTTTTTAATGTGTTGCGGCATTTGCGTTTGTGTTGTGGTGTTTGTTGTGGCGTTTGCATTAAAATAGGGTCCTGCAGTCATTTCCATTGTGGCTTTTTTGGTTTGTTGTGGCTTTTTTGATGTGTTGCGGGTTTTTTTGTGTGTGTTTGTTGTGGCTTTTTTTGGTGTGTTGTGGCTTTTTTTGGTGTGTTGTGGCTTTTTTGGTTTGTTGTGACTTTTTGTTGTGTTGTCGCATTTGTATTTGTTGCGGCGTTTGCGTTTGTTGCGACCCCTCTCGGCTTCCGTAAGAATGCGATGCAAAAAGCCTTTAGACCGATGTACTGTTTTTAAAAATGACGTAAAGAGGGAAAATAACAATAAATGTCGCCTAAACAAACCCAACTTTTAATAGAGTCAAACCTGAGTCTTTTGGCAGCAGGTTTTTAGTGCGAGTAAAATAAATGTCTTTTTTAAAAATCTAGTTTCTGTCTAAATCTTAATCTCTGGGGTTTTCGAGTGTTGTAAATTGTGTCCTGAGCGTTTGACCCGTCGCTCAGAGTCTCTGGGTCAAATCTCTGGGTCCATGTTTTGGGCTGACGGAGAAACCGACACAGGGAGAACATGCAAACGTGTCACTGTGAGAGTCAGTCATGTGGAGTACGCGTCAGGTCCGATCAGAGGAGAGTCTTTGTGGAGCTAAAGGTGAATCTGACGCTCGAGTTTCAGTTTCCAGAGTTTAAAATAACTGAGATGGAAACACAAGGACAAAGAACTAAACCAGGACTAAACCAGGACTAAACCAGGATGAAACGAGGACTAAAGCAGATCTAATCCAGGACTAATCCAAAACTAAACCAGGACTAAACCAGAGAAAGTACAAAAAGGTTCTGGTTTAGACCTGTATTAGACCTAATTTAAATCTAGATTAGACCTGATTTAGACCTGATTTAGACCTGGTTTAATCCTGGTTTAGTCCTGGTTCAGTTCAGTGAACAGCTCCTTTTACTTTAGTTCAGTAGAGTTTGGTCAGTTCCAGGACTGAAATGATCCAGATGATTCTAGTGAAGGTGTGTGGAGTTTAAAAACACAGTGGAGCACCTCCTGTATCACCACATGATGACATCACAAGGTGAGTGTTTTCAGTTTGAGAGAAGAACTCAGCATAAATCTGCTGTTTGGTTTGTGTGTTAAACACACAAGAACTCTGAACCCAGAACTCAACCAGGTCTAACACTGAGACCAAACCAGAACTCAACCAGGTCTAACACTGAGACCAAACCAGAACTCAACCAGGTCTAACACTGAGACCAAACCAGAACTCAACCAGGTCTAACTCACCTGCAATCAGAGAAATCCAGACTCGGTTTGGAGCAGGTCCTGATCCTTGTGATCCTGGGTCGATTCCTGGTCTAAGTCCTGGATTTGGTCCCTGGTTGAGTCCCTGGTTGAGTCCTGGGTTTAGTCCTGGTTTTGGTCCGGTCTTGGTCCCAGGAGGCTGCAGGATCCGTGGGTTGTCCTGCTCCTCCATCCCGTCACCGTTGGACTCTGAGCAGGACTCGTCCCGGACTGTGCGAGGACCGTGAGAGGATTTGAACCGGATCTGGGGGGATCAGGTGTCCGGTCCCGGGTCTGGTCTCAGGTCTGGTCTCTGGTCTCTGGTCTCGGTCCGCTGAGTCCTGGAGGTGTTTGTTTCAGCGGCTCATGTTTCAACACAACGACTTAAAGCTGCACTCTGAAATATTCTGAGGTCCAGCACTCGCTCGTCTCCATGGAGACGTTCCTGATTTGTCTGAAATGTTTCGCAGTATAACATTAATATTATCTGTCTCCATGGTGACAAGCGGGTCAGATCAAACATCAGACGGTTTATGGTCGTACAGATCAGATCTATGTGGCGTCCGTCAGTCCAAGACCAGATCTGGACTAAAAATGACGTTCAGATTCTTCTTCTATTATTTGGACGAATCACTGTGACCCACTTGAACATCCACATGTTAAACATTTGAACCGTGGACCAGGAGACACTTTTGGACGTCCTGTGGACGTCTCATAGACGCAGGAAAATGACGTTAGTAATGATCATAGAAATTCTGCTTGTTCGTCAGGGAAAAGTTGGTGAATTTTAAGCTTGATGTTTGAAGTTTGAAGGTGGAGAACCTGTGAACTGTTTCCTGTCATCGCTTCATAACTTTGTCCAGTTTCTGTTGCTGAGACAAAATGAACTAGAACATTCTGCCTCCGTCTGAAACAGCATCACATCTGCACAGAGACGAGGAACAATCGACAGAGAAAAACGCTTTGAAACGCTTTTTAATGTGGCCACACCTCCTGTCAGAGTCTGATCTGGGGTCAGATCTTTGGCTCAGAGTCTGATCTGGGGTCAGATCTTTGGCTCAGAGTCTGATCTGGGGTCAGATCTTTGGCTCAGAGTCTGATCTGGGGTCAGATCTTTGGCTCAGAGTCTGATCTGGGGTCAGATCTTTTGCTCAGAGTCTGATCTGGGGTCAGATCTTTGGCTCAGAGTCTGATCTGGGGTCAGATCTTTTGCTCAGAATCTGATCTGGGGTCAGATCTTTTACTCAGAGTCTGGGTCTGGACTTGACTGAGACTCTGGGAACATCAGGAGCCACAGGAGGAGCCAGAGAAAAAAACTGTCACTGTGTCCTTAGGCAAGACACTTCACATACTGCCTCATGTGAAAGTGGTGTGTGTGTGTGTGATGGTTAGAGGGGCCGATGGTGCAGATTGACAGCCACACTTCCATCAGTCTGCCCCAGGGCAGCTGTGGCTACAATAATAGTTTACATCACAGAGTGTGGAGAGAAGAAGAATGATCTGTAAAGAGACTCTGAGTGTCCAGACGTGTTCTGTATTAAACTGATGCATTATTATTATTATAATAATTATATTATTATATAATTATTCTTAACGTAGAAAAGTCGTGGACGTCGACCTCATTTGGACAGAATCAGCCTCATCTAAACGTCCTGGGAACGACAGAACTTGACGTCTGCAACACGTTGGAAAAAAGACGTGATGTGGCGTCACAGTCTGGACCTTCAGTGGACTCAGACTGGACGAACAAAAATGACACTAAAAAGATGTTTTTTCAAAGTTTCTTTGTGCAGTTTAATGAGTTTAATGCTGTACTGTGGAAAATGACATCGCTATGGAGACAGCGGGTGGAGGGAGAAGTTACGATGAGCATCAACACAAAGACCCAGGACTGAAGAGGGCGGAGTCTGAGAGTTTGACCAGACATGGAGGTCCAGGTGCGTTTGGTCCCGTCGGCCTCAGGTCCGGGTGCGTTTGGTCCCGTCGGCCTCAGGTCCGGGTGCGTTTGGTCCCGTCGGCCTCAGGTCCGGGTGCGTTTGGTCCCGTCGGCCTCAGGTCCGGGTGCGTTTGGTCCCGTCGGCCTCAGGTCCGGGTGCGTTTGGTCCCGTCGGCCTCAGGTCCGGGTGCGTTTGATCTCGTCGGCCTCAGGTCCGGGTGCGTTTGGTCCCGTCGGCCTCAGGTCCGGGTGCGTTTGGTCCCGTCGGCCTCAGGTCCGGGTGCGTTTGGTCTCGTCGGCCTCAGGTCCGGGTGCGTTTGGTCCCGTCGGCCTCAGGTCCAGTGGAAAGTCCTGCTCCTCGGCTCAGACCCGGTTCTTTGTTTGATGCTTTAATTTTTAATGTGTTTTGTTCCTTCATTTTCTCATTAAGGCCGAGCTCTTTGTGTCCGTCACAGGTCCAGTCAGGTCCAGTCTGGTTCAGTCTGGTCCAGTCTGAGGTTCTGCACCATCGAGAGACACCGAGGACCAGACCCGATACTGATTCTAATACCACAAAGATAATAAAACCCTCTTTCTTCAAGCACTCTCCTGTGATTTTATATAATAAATGGTAGAACTTTTTCTAATCCCTCAATACTCCAGGACTAAACCAGGTTTAAGTCTCTGTCTTATACTTGTTCTGATCCAGATGGTTCTAAACACATTCAGGAAAGATTCTACTCTGTCTTGAAAATGGGACTTTTTTAGTATCGATACTTTCGATATTAGTTTTAGAAAAGATTAAAGTGATCTGAAACACAGAAATTCTCTAATAAGACCTGGTTTAGACCTGGTTTGGACTAGGTTTAGACCAAGTTTAGACCTGGTTTAATCCTGGTTTGGACCCATTTTTCTTTTTTAAGTAAAGCTTCATTTCTGTTCTGTCAGTGGAACTTTTTTTTTTAAAATCAATATCTGTAAAAAAAAAAAAAATAAAATAAAATTTCTTATAAGTGCAGTAGCAACAGTAGCTGTAGTATTTGTATTAGTAGTAGTATGAGTTGTAGTAGTATTTATAGTATTTGTAGTAGCAGTAGTAGTAGTAGTAGTAGTAGTAGTAGTAGTAGTAGTAGTAGTAGTAGTAGTAGTAGTAGTAGTAGTAGTAGTAGTAGTAGTAGTAGTAGTAGTAGTAGTAGTAGTAGTAGTAGTAGTAGTAGTAGTAGTATAGTTGTAGTAGTAGTAGTAGTAGTAGTAGTAGTAGTAGTAGTAGTAGTAGTAGTAGTAGTAGTAGTAGTAGTATTTGTAGTATTTGTCTGTGAGCAGAAGCAGGTCACAGGGACACAGTGACACTCAACACCGTTAAAGTGTAAAACCACGTCACAGAAACTCGACTCGACTTTTGAGAAATAAAAAAAAAAAAAAAAACGCACACACGAGAAAAAAACAGTTGCTAGAGACGAGTTTAATGCCATACTGTGGAAAATGACATCGCTACGGAGACAGCAGGTGCAGGAGAAGTTACATATTGCATCTTTAAATAGAACGTGACTTTTGTTTTTAAATAACTTCATCCGGACGTGGAAAAGCAGACGAGCCTCGGGGACGCGTGCAGCTCTGTTTCACCCTGAGACAAACCTACAGCCGTGACAACAGTCCGTGAGGGAGGGGCTACGGCGGAGGGGGGGGTCAGAGGTCAGAGATGAGGGTTCACGGCTCCTGACCCCTCACACTCGATCAGGAACGACGTGTTTCCGCTCAGATCGTCAGTGCACTTGGAGATGCTGAACTTCGCCTGGAGGAGAAACACAAGAGTCAGAGTCAGTCAGAGTGGAGTGGAGTGGAGTGGTGCGGTCAGGTCTGGTGTGGAGTAGTGTGCTGTAATCTGGAGTGGTCTAGTCTGGTGTGGTCTGGTCTGGTCTGGTCTGGTCAGGTGTGGTCAGGTGTGGTCAGGTGTGGTCTGGTCAGGTGCAGTCAGGTCTGGTGTGGTCTGGTCTGGTCTGGTCTGGTGTGGTCTGGTCTGGTCTGGTCTGGTCTGGTGTGGTGAGTTTAAAAAAATCTTATCACAGGTTAAATCTGTGTCCACTGGTTGATTTTTTAATTTTCTAACATGGTTGGACGTCACATGATGTGAGGAGTTTAAATCCACACACTGCGACCGCGTTCGCACTGCGGTGAGTATGACCAAGTGTAAACACACAGCAACGATGCCACCGGCCGCGCAGGTGTGAGCAGAACCACAGAACCTCACACAAACGTGTCCGAGCACAACACGATGTAAAAGTCCTAATGTGAGTCCAGCAGAGTTGGACACAAACAGTTTGTGTAACTGGAGAAGACTGGACGTCCTTCAGTCTTCAGAACCTCCTCAGGTCACAGCTCATTTCACCCACAGAGGAACTTCCAACACAAAATCTCACTGACAATTGTTATGATTTATAATAAAAAAAACAAAACACAAAGCCTCTTCACGTTTCTGTGTGGAAAAGACTAAGATTAAAATAATGATTCAAGGGACAAAAATGTGCCATTCATCTGTGATTAATCACAAGTTTATGACATTCATGAGATTAATGGACTGACAGCACTCGACTTCACCTGTGTCAGCGATTCTGCAATGTGGATGTAGTAGAATTTGTAGTATTTGTAGTATTTGTAGTAGTAGTAGTAGTATTTGACTAGTGTAGAGTTGTTCTGCATGTGTAGTAGTAGTAGTTTAGTAGTATTTGTAGTATTTGTAGTAGTATTTGACCTGTGTGAGTTGTTCTGCGATGTTAGTAGTAGTAGTGTAGTATTGTAGTAGTAGTAGTAGTAGTAGTAGTAGTAGTAGTATTTGTAGTATTTGTAGTAGTATTTGACCTGTGTGAGTTGTTCTGCGATGTGGATGTAGTAGTAGTAGTAGTAGTATTTGTAGTATTTGTAGTAGTATTTGACCTGTGTGAGTTGTTCTGCGATGTGGATGTAGTAGTAGTAGTAGTATTTGTAGTATTTGTAGTAGTATTTGACCTGTGTGAGTTGTTCTGCGATGTGGTATGTAGTAGTAGTAGTAGTATTTGTAGTATTTTGTGTAGTAGTGACCTGTTGTGAGTGTAGTTCTGTGTGATGTGTAGATGTAGTAGTAGTAGTAGTAGTAGTAGTTGTAGTATTTGTAGTAGTATTTGACCTGTGTGAGTTGTTCTGCGATGTGGATGTAGTAGTAGTAGTAGTAGTATTTGTAGTAGTAGTATTTGACCTGTGTGAGTTGTTCTGCGATGTGGATGTAGTAGTAGTAGTAGTATTTGTAGTATTTGTAGTAGTATTTGACCTGTGTGAGTTGTTCTGCGATGTGGATGTAGTAGTAGTAGTAGTATTTGTAGTAGTATGTAGTAGTAGTAGTAGTATTTGACCTGTGTGAGTTGTTCTGCGATGTGGATGTAGTAGTAGTAGTAGTAGTATTTAGTAGTAGTATTTGACCTGTGTGAGTTGTTCTGCGATGTGGATGTAGTAGTAGTAGTAGTAGTAGTAGTAGTAGTATTTGTAGTATTTGTAGTAGTATTTGACCTGTGTGAGTTGTTCTGCGATGTGGATGTAGTAGTAGTAGTAGTATTTGTAGTATTTGTAGTAGTATTTGACCTGTGTGAGTTGTTCTGCGATGTGAATGTAGTGTATGTAGTAGTAGTAGTAGTAGTAGTATTAGTAGTAGTAGTATTTGTAGTAGTATTTGACCTGTGTGAGTTGTTCTGCGATGTGGATTGTAGTAGTAGTAGTATTTGTGTAGTATTAGTAGTAGTATTTGACCTGTGTGAGTTGTTCTGCGATGTGGATAGTAGTAGTAGTAGTATTTGTAGTATTTGTAGTAGTATTTGACCTGTGTGAGTTGTTCTGCGATGTGGATGTAGTAGTAGTAGTAGTAGTAGTATTTGTAGTAGTTGTAGTAGTATTTGACCTGTGTGAGTTGTTCTGCGATGTGGATGTAGTAGTAGTAGTAGTAGTATTTGTAGTAGTAGTAGTAGTATTTGACCTGTGTGAGTTGTTCTGCGATGTGGATGTAGTAGTAGTAGTAGTTTGTAGTATTTGTAGTAGTATTTGACCTGTGTGAGTTGTTCTGCGATGTGGATGTAGTAGTAGTAGTAGTAGTATTTGTAGTATTTGTAGTAGTATTTGACCTGTGTGAGTTGTTCTGCGATGTGGATGTAGTAGTAGTAGTAGTAGTATTTGTAGTATTTGTAGTAGTATTTGACCTGTGTGAGTTGTTCTGCGATGTGGATGTAGTAGTAGTAGTAGTAGTATTTGTAGTATTTGTAGTAGTATTTGACCTGTGTGAGTTGTTCTGCGATGTGGATGTAGTAGTAGTAGTAGTATTTGTAGTATTTGTAGTAGTATTTGACCTGTGTGAGTTGTTCTGCGATGTGGATGTAGTAGTAGTAGTAGTATTTGTAGTATTTGTAGTAGTATTTGACCTGTGTGAGTTGTTCTGCGATGTGGATGTAGTAGTAGTAGTAGTATTTGTAGTATTTGTAGTAGTATTTGACCTGTGTGAGTTGTTCTGCGATGTGGATGTAGTAGTAGTAGTAGTAGTAGTATTTGTAGTATTTGTAGTAGTATTTGACCTGTGTGAGTTGTTCTGCGATGTGGATGTAGTAGTAGTGTATTAGTGTAGTATTTTGTAGTAGTATTGACCTGTGTAGTTGTTCTGCGATGTGTGGAGTAGTATTTGTAGTATTTGTAGTAGTATTTGACCTGTGTGAGTTGTTCTGCGATGTGGATGTAGTAGTAGTAGTATTTGTAGTATTTGTAGTAGTATTTGACCTGTGTGAGTTGTTCTGCGATGTGGATGTAGTAGTAGTAGTAGTATTTGTAGTATTTGTAGTAGTATTTGACCTGTGTGAGTTGTTCTGCGATGTGGATGTAGTAGTAGTAGTAGTAGTATTTGTAGTAGTATTTGTAGTAGTATTTGACCTGTGTGAGTTTGTTCTGCGATGTGATGTAGTAGTAGTAGTAGTATTTGTAGTAGTTTAGTAGTATTTGACCTGTGTGAGTTGTTCTGCGATGTGGATGTAGTAGTAGTAGTAGTATTTGTAGTATTTGACCTGTGTGAGTTGTTCTGCGATGTGGATGTAGTAGTAGTAGTAGTAGTTTGTAGTAGTATTTGACCTGTGTGTGAGTTGTTCTGCGATGTGATGTAGTAGTAGTAGTAGTAGTATTTGTAGTAGTAGTATTTGACCTGTGTGAGTTGTTCTGCGATGTAGGTAGTGAGTAGTAGTAGTAGTAGTATTTGTAGTATATTGCGATGCGTGGATGGCCGTCTGTGTGTGCAGAGTCACTGGTCCAGTTCTGATCCGAGATTTTCCTTTGGCCAAAGCCATGAAGATGATCAACTAAAAAACACACAGAAAAACACAACACTTATTTATACAGTACAGTACACGTGAGTACTACAGTACACGTGAGTACTACAGTACACACTACAGTACTACACGAGTACGTTACAGTACACAGCGTGAGTACAGTACTACAGTACACAGTACACGAGTACTACAGTACAAGTACACGTGAGTACTACAGTACAGGACACAGAGTGAGACACGTACAGTACACGTGAGTACTACAATACACGTGAGTACACAGTGAGTACTACAGTACACGTGAGCTACAGTACTACTACACGCGAGTTACAGTACAGTACAGTACACGTGAGTACTACAGTACAGTACACGTGAGTACTACAGTACACGTGAGTACTACAGTACTACAGTACACGTGAGTTACAGGACACGAGTACTACAGCACAGTACACGTGAGTACTACAGCACAGTACATGTGAGTACTACAGTACAGTACACGTAGAGTACAGTACAGACACGTGAGTACACAGTACACGTGAGTACACAGTACACGAGTAACTACAGTGAGTACAGTACAGTACAGTACAGTACAGTACAGTACAGTACAACAGTACTACAGTACACGTGAGTACTACAGTTACAGTACACGTGAGTACAGTACAGTACTACAGTACTACAGTACACGTGAGTACTACTACAGTACACGTGAGTACTACAGGTACACGTGAGTACTACAGTACAGTACAGTACAGTACTACAGTACAGTACACGTGAGTACTACAGTACAGTACACGTGAGTACTACAGTACACGTGAGTACTACAGTACAGTACACGTGAGTACTACAGTACAGTACACGTGAGTACTACAGTACAGTACATGTGAGTACTACACATGTACATGTGAGTACTACAGTACAGTACATGTGAGTACTACAGTACACAGTACAGTACACGTGAGTACTACACAGTACTACAGTACAGTACAGTACATGTGAGTACGTACAGTACAGTACAGTACAGTACTACAGTACAAGTGAGTACAGTACAGACAGTACATTGTGAGTACTACAGTACAAGTACACGTGAGTACAGTACAGTACTACATACACGTGAGTACTACAGTACAGTACTACAGTACAGTACACAGTGAAGTACAGTACGTGAGTACTACAGTACACGTGAGTACTACAGTACACGTGAGTACTTACAGTACACGTGAGTACTACAGTTACACAGTTGAGTACTACAGTTACTGAGTACTTACAGTACAGTACACGTGAGTACTACAGTACAGTACACAGTGTGAGTTACAGTACAGTACACAGTACATGAGTACACGAGTACTACAGTACAGTACATGTGAGTACTACAGTACAGTACACTACAGTACAGTACACTACAGTACAGTACATGTGAGTACTACAGTAGAGGTAACGCTGCTCTAAACCAGGTTTATCTTTAAAAATCACACTTAAAGGTGCATTGTGTACATTTTCCGGTTGAGGGTCCGTCTCCATGGAGATGTTGTTACTTGGTCTGGAATGTTTCACATTACGGCATTAAACATTTCCATCTTCACGGAGACCAAACCAGGTAACTAGGTCTTTTTGAGTAATAAAACCACCTCTAATATAATAAATGTAAGGCAGAGCTGTTTAAAGTCACACTGCGGAACATTCCAGGCAGAGCATCGACATCTCCATAGAAACAAGACGACCCCAACAGAAAAGTCCCGTTGTAGTGACGTGGTTCAAACCTGGTCCTGGAGGAACTCGTCGACGCAGCCGTTGTGTCTGATGTTTCTGAGGAGCATCTCCGCGGCTTCGATCCCGACTTTATCTGCGTAAACTCCTGCGAAAAAAACAAAACAAACAAAAACAATCAAACTAAATCTACAGTTTGTGAGGGAAAATTTACTTCAGGAAGGTTTAAACAAAAACCCCGCACACAGAAGAATCCGATTTAAAAATAATGTAAAGACGCAAACTTCTCTCTTTCTAAACAAAAAAAAAAAAAAAAAAAAAATAGCACTACTCAGCAAAAAAACACAAAAAAAAATCTGCATCTCATTTCTCTTTCCTCGCTTCCTTCTCCTTGTTTCGTCTCCTCGATCCTCCATTTTTCAGCTTTTTTGTGGTGATGTTGTCCCAAAGAAAACCACGAAATGAAAGAGTAAGAGGCTTCAGGAGCAAACACCAGAGAAAACCGTCTCAGTGAGGAATTTAGATTTCATTTCGTGCAGAATCGAGAAGAGGAATCAAGGAGAAGGAAGCGAGAGGCAAAAAAAAAATGAGACGCGGCCACAGATGCACATTTGGAGAGGAAGTAGAGACGTTAACAGTGAGATTCTTGGTGCTATTTTGTTGGGAAGAACAACGTAATGAAAAGGTTTTGCTGCCCTCTTGTGGACAAACGTGGACTCACCTTTTTTCCCCAAAGCTGAACCTGCAAAAAGACAACCTGACGACGACTCGGCGATGATTCTGAAACAGGAAACAGACAAACAATAAATAAAACCAGAGATTCTATGTTTTACGTTGTCGTGTTCATAAAATGTGCAGTATAAATAAAGTGGATTGGCTCAGATGCCCTCCCTCGTGTGTGTGTTTTCGCTCACATGATCCCGTTGCCGTTGCCGTAGGCTTTCTCTTTCTCCTGCAGCGCTTGGATGTTGATGTACAGATCTTTGATTTCTTTCCGGATGGTTCTGACGGCGGCGCTCGACATGTCTTTGGCCAACTGTCACACACACGTCACAAAAACATTAGAACAATAACATTATAACATCATATTATTCCAGTAATATTATGATACAGTTTACTATTGATACTCTGCAGCTCACGTCATCATTCTAACTGGAGGCACTGGTCTGTCTGAAGTTGTGTTTCTCAGATTAGACTTTAATCTGAGCTTCATTTGAACACAATCTGACCAGAAAGAACCGGAACAGGAAAACAGGACCAAGAACCCCAAGAGCCTGTCCACACGACAAAGTTTTTTGGTCGAAACGGTGAAGTTTTTATTCGTTTTGGTCTTTCGTCCACACGGAGTTGACGTTTTGGGTGGACGAAAACCGTGTTTTTTGAGAACAGATTCCAGAGTGGAGAAACACCAGCGTTGTGTTGTCGTGTGGACAAACACAACCGCAGCAACCAAACCCCGTCATCTCCAGGTTCCTCTGATGCAGTGAAGCCCACAGCCCTCGAACGAGCCTCCGCGGACCAAAAGACATTTGTCGCTCCTGTCGCCCAACAACCGAGACACACTGTCAACACTAACACTAACAACACACAGCACACACACACACACTGATCAATAACAAAGACACACGAATCAATAAACTGTTGGATTTTCAGACCAAGTTATTCTATTAATTCTCACCCAAATCTTATAAAGCTAAAAACAAAACTTATGTTTAACTTTTGCAAAACAAAATGGCAATAATTGTGGTATAAATCTAAAATCATCTAAATGACCTTAAAGTTTAAAAAACGGTGATAAGATTTGAATTATTAAATATTAATATTGTTACAGCGCCACATACATGGTTTTCACTCAGTGCTCCGGTGTCGTCTGGACATTAAGATTTATTGATCCGACATGTGTGTGGACGAGAATTTATTCAGCCCATAAAAAGATAATAAAAATCAGGAGCTTTGTCGTGTGGACGCAGCCTCAGTCTGATCGCAGGAAAAGGAAAATGTGATCTTTAAATCACTTCTGTATTTTTTCTTGAGTTTTCATACCATATTTAAAGCTTATTTGTCAGTGTTTGCAAGTGTGCTCTGTGTTACCATGGTCACTGCTGAACATTCCACCACAGAGGCATATGTAGAACACCCCTAACGTGATGTCAGTGCAAAGTATCAACAGAACTGTACAGTGTATAAAGGTAGAGCAAAGGAGAAATAAACTATTTTTTTTAATCAAATATATAATACAAACATATAATATATATATCGTATTTTCCGGGCTATTAGTCGCTCTGGATTGTAAGACGCACTGTCATTAAATGTTCTTTTTCACATATAAACCTCGCGGGACTTTAAAGGAAACAACAGTGTGACGCCTAAAAGCCCAGAAAATACGGTAATATATATGTCATTCTATTTCTTCAGAACTGAATAAAATTTCTCCTTTGCTGTGGGTCGTAGGTGGATGACTGAAGGATTTCACAAACAGAGTAAAAGATTCATAAGGAAAAGCAGATTCTGCCCGGTAACAGGGTTTTACTGGGTTTACTAAGTTACTTTTTTTTTTTTAATGGGGAGTTAGTTTTACCTCGAAATGATCCAGTGAAACTTGGAGGGAAAAGAAAAACACTGGTCAGTATTTGGATGGGAGACGGCTGGGAATATTAGGAACACCCTGAGCTTTTACTTTGAAAGGCAGAACCACAGTCTGTATAAAGAAGTGGACTATTTTACTTTGAAAGGGAGGGCCTTGTATACTATATAGTTTATGCTCTTACTTTGAAAGGGAGAACCACATATTCTGCACTCTTATTTTGAAAGGCAGGACTCTATACAGTATAGTTGAAGCTTTTACTTTGGAAGGGAGCATCATGCATTTCTGTATTTCAGGCTCTTACTTTGAAAGGAAGGACTCTGTATAATGTATACTTTATGCTCTTACTTTGAAAGAGAGAACTGTGTATTTTGCGCTCTTACTTGAAAGGCAGGATTCTTGAAAGGCTCTGTATTCAGCTCTTATTTTGAAAGGCAGGACTCTATACAGTATAGTTTATGCTCTTACTTTGAAAGGGAGCACCATGTACTCTGCGCTCTTACTTTGAAATGCAGGATTCTGTATAGTTATAGTTGAAGCTTTTACTTTGGAAGGGAGCACCATGTATTTCTGTATTTCAGGCTCTTACTTTGAAAGGCAGGACTCTGTATACCGTATAGTTTGTGCTCTTACTCTGAAAGGGAGCTCCACGTATTTCCGCATTCAGCGCTCTTACTTTGTAAGGCAGCACCCCGGCGACGTAGGCTCTTCCGTAGATCTTGGTGATGCTTCCTCTCTCCGTCATCACCACAGGGAGCAGCTCCTTCACTGGGTTCACCGTGACCTGCACCTCACCCCCGCCTTTAGGGTAAAAACCTCTAAAAATACACCAAAAATATGTATTATTATGAAAGCGAGACACTGCAGGGAGAGCACAAGGAGTAAAACTGTAATAATAATTCTGAAACATTAATTCAAAACAAGTGTGTTACATTACATTGTACTTTCATGTTTATATTTACAGTAGTTTATTCTGTATCTGTGTGTGACAAGACTAAACCTGCAGGGGGCGCTCATGCAAAAAAATACTGTTTATGCTTTAAAAAGGATGAGGAAACAGTGTATTTAAATAAAGACAGATTCAATTTAAGAATCATGACTTTAATTTGACTTTTTTGGATTTTTTTTTCAGATAGTTTGATTATTTAAAAAACTAAATAAGACTGATCTAGTGTCCTTCTTTGGATCCAGGTGAAAGGTTTAACAGACACAGAAACTAAATAATACAAATGTTTTTCCTGTAGTGGGATTATTTGTTCTCACCTCATTCTTATGTCACAGTTGAAGTTAACGCCAAACTTTTCTACGATCGGTTTGAAAATCTGAAAGAAGAGAAAAAAGAAAACTGTAAAATGGAGCAGAGGATGAAGAGGAGAGTCGGAGGAGGAGCAGGAGGAGCAGATTAAAATGAAGAAGAGCAGATGAAGCAGAGGAGCAGCAGAGAAGAGGGTCAGATGAAGCAGGAGAAGAGCAGGTGAAGCAGAGGAGAAGGTCAGAGGAACAGCGAAGGAGCAGGTCAGAGGAGCAGGTGAAGCAGAAGAGGAGCAGGTGAAGTAGATGAAACACATGAAGCAGAGGAGGAGCAGAAGAGAGTTTCAGGTGGAGCAGAGGAGAGGAGAGGAGCAGATGATGAAGAAGAGGAGCAGAGGAGGAGCAGATGAAGCAGAAGAGGAGCAGATGAAGCAGAGGAGGAGCAGATGAGGAGCAGATGAAGTAGAGGAGCAGATGAAGCAGAAGAGGAGCAGATGAAGCAGAAGGTCAGAGGAACAGAGGATAAGAGAAGAGGGTCAGAGGAGGAGCAGATGGAGCAGAGGAGAAGGTCAGAGGAGCAGATGAAGCAGATGGAGGAGAGGAGCAGATGAAGCAGATGGAGGAGAAGAGTAGATGGAGGAGCAGATGGAGCAGAGGAGAAGGTCAGATGAAGCAGACGGAGGAGAGGAGAGGATCAGATGGAGGAGAGGAGCAGATGAAGCAGAAGAGGAGGAGCAGATGGAGGAGAAGAGGAGAAGCAGATGGAGGAGAAGAGGAGAAGCAGATGGAGGAGAGGAGCAGGAGGAGCAGATGGATCAGATGGAGGAGAGGAGAAGATGAAGCAGATGGAGGAGAAGAGGAGGATCAGATGAAGCAGAGGAGAGGAGGAGCAGATGGATCAGATGGAGGAGAGGAGCAGAAGAGGAGGAGCAGATGGAGGAGAGGAGGAGAAGGTCAGATGAATCAGATGAATCAGATGGATCAGATGGAGGAGAGGAGCAGATGAAGCAGAAGAGGAGGAGCAGATGGATCAGATGGAGGAGAGGAGCAGAGGAGAGAAGAGGAGGAAGAGATGAGCAGAAAGAGGGAGGAGCAGATGGAGCAGATGGAGGGAGGAGGCAGAAGAGGAAGCAGAAGAGCAGGGATCAGAGATCAGAGGAGGAGCAGAAGAGGAGGAGCAGAAGAGGAGAGGATGGAAGCAGGAGAGCAGATGGATCAGATGGAGGAGAGGAGCAGAGGAGGAGATCAGAGGAGGAGCAGGAGAGGAGCAGATGAAGCAGAAGAGGAGGAGCAGGAGGAGCAGATGGATCAGATGGAGGAGAGGAGCAGGAGGAGCAGAAGAGGAGGAGCAGATGGAGGAGAGGAGGAGAAGGTCAGATGAATCAGATGAATCAGATGAAGCAGATGGATCAGATGGAGCAGATGGAGAAGAGGAGAGGGAGGAGAGAGCAGGAGGAGCAGATGGAGGAGCAGATGGAGGAGAGGAGCAGAGGAGCAGATGGAGGAGAGGAGCAGGAGGAGCAGATGGAGGAGGAGCAGGAGGAGCAGATGGAGGAGAGGAGCAGGAGGAGCAGAAGAGGAGGAGCAGGAGGATCAGATGGAGGAGAGGAGCAGGAGGAGCAGATGAGACCTTGACGGTGTAGTCGATCTGTGGGGCCATCTCAGCGTTGGTTCCTCCTCTCAGACAAATCTGTGTGTTTCCTCCAGAGAACAGAGCACAAGGCAGAGCCACCTGCAGCAGCAGACACACACTCCTGTACACACACACACACACACACATATACACACAACACATATACACACACACACACACACACACAACACCACACACACACACACACAACACAATACACACACACATACACACAACACACACACAACATATACACACACACATATACACACAACACACACACAACACATATACACACAACACAACACATATACACACAACACACACACACACGCAAACAAACACATACAAACACACAACACATATACACACAACACACACACACACACACACACACATACACACACACACACAACACACAACACACACACACACACACACACACACACACAACACACACACACACACACACACACAACACACACACACACACACACAACACACAACACACATACACAACACACACACACACACACACACAACACATACACAACACACACAACATATATACACACAACACACACACACACACACACAACACAACACATATACACACACACACACACACACACACAACACATATATACACACACACACGCAAACACATACACACAACACACACAACATATATACACACAACAACACACACACAACACATACACACACACACACACACACACACACACATACACACACACACACAACACACAACACACACACACACACAACACATACACAACACACACAACACACAACACATATACACACAACACAACACACACACACACAACACACACACAAACACACACACACACACAAATATACACACAACACAACACACACACACGCAAACACATATACACACAACACAACACACACACACACACACACAACACAACACACACAACACATACACAACACACACACACACACACAAACACACACACACACACACACACATACACACACAACACATATACACACACAACATACACAAACACGCACACAACACACACACACACACAACAAATATACACACACAACACACACCACAACACACAAACATGCAAACACACACACAACACACAAATATACACACAACACACACACACAAATATACACACACATACACACACAAATGGAAGGTTAAACAAGAATCAAGTGAAAACAAAAGTTAAGCTGCTCTGTGTGGCACTTTTCCTGATAAACATGAAGATTTTTAATGATTTTTTTTACGATTCTGTTCAAAGTTCACATTTTAAAAACACGTCCAGAAGAAAAAAACTGAAACTTCAAATCTGAACCGACAAACAAAAACAAGAGTCACATTTCAGAACATGTGTACAGATCCGTCTCTTTAAACGTCCCTGACATTTGTCGCATTATTTTTGATATTTTTAGTTCAGTGTGTTTATTTTTAGACAGGCTGACGACGAGTGACCGAAATGGACAAAATATTGATCTCAGTATTATTTTTTAGTTTACATGGCTCCAGTTTTCAGACCCTTTAATGGAGCCGTAACGATGTCTTGGTTGTGGCATCGTAAAAACATCTCTGGGTTCTGTATTGATCGTGCTTATTTTTGTCGCAATAGTGGAAAGATTTTTACTATTTTTATAATTTTTTTACAGTAAGATTTGAAAAACACCAATAGACACCGGAGTTTGTGTTTGTTTGTTTGTTTGTTTACCCTGCCGTTTGTGTGTCCGCCGTGTAGTTCCCAGCCTGGATCCTGCCCGGACTCAGGCTGATGTCTGTGGACCCCAGAGCGGCTCCCTGAAGGGCCCCACCGCACAACTCCGACACCAACTGCAGCCCACTCAAGTGCTGCGCTCTGGGGACAAGAAAGAGAAAGAGAGAAAGAAAGGAAGAAAGAGAGAGAGGAGGGTTGAGGAAAAGAGACTAAAACTTTAATACTAAACCTAAAAACTATTCAGATGTGAAAAGGGACATTTCAAACTGGATTTTTTTTACACAATATCCAGTGATTTTCCACATTAAATGGTAGAACTTTCTTTTCTATTCCCATGTGTGTGTATCTGTGTAATCCCTCTGTGGTCCAGGACTAAACCAGGTCCAAACCAGGTCCAAACCAGGTCCAAACCAGGTCCAAACCAGGTCTAAACCAGGTCTAAACCAGGTCTAAACCAGGTCCAAATGAGGTCTAATCCAAAACCAAACCAGGTCCAAACTAACTCTAAACCAGGAATAAACCAGTTCTAAACCAAGACCAAACCAGCTCTAAACCAGCTCTAAACCAGGTCCAAACCAGGTCCAAACCAGGTCCAAACCAGGTCCAAACCAGGTCCAAACCAGGTCCAAACCAGGTCCAAACCAGGTCAATGTGTGTATTCTAGTCTGTGTCTTATTCTCGTTCTGATCCAGCTCCAGATTTGTTCTAAACACATTCAGGAAAAGTTCTGCTCTGTCCTGAAAATTTAACTATTTTTAGTATCGATACCTGTGACAAAAAAGGATCTAGTTTTGATTCTAGTTTAGACACTAAAAACTTTGCTGAAATGTTTTAAGAATTTCATATATTAAAGTTTCAGAAACATCTTTTAAAAAAATCTGTATCGATATCATGGGCTGCTGTATCGATACATCGCCCAGAGTATTTTTTGGTTTATTTTACAAAATTATTTTGTTACAGCTACAGTTTTGTTGTTTGTTTAAAAGAGACATGTCAAACTCAGGCCCGGGGGCCAAATTTGAGCCGCGATATAAATACATTTGGCCCATGAGAGCAAATCAAATCTGTATTAGAGCTGTCGCTGCAAACAGATCGACTATAGAGACATGATTTATTTAAAATGTTGTTATTATTTTATATTCTGTTTGTTCTGGATTCAATGTTTAAGCAAAACTATTATAAAACATTTAATTTAATAAGAAAAAGGTTTAACATTACAGATCTCAAACGAAGAGAAAACATGCAGATGTTTGAAATTTACAGTAAATATTTTGTTTGACCCATGACTTAGTCCCAGTTTTTATTTTTGGCTTCTGTGAATTTGGGTTCGACTCTCCTGGTTTAGACGAAGGAAACTTGTTTATGCGACAGATTTGACATTTTCACTGTTTTGAGGATTAAAATGTTTGTTTCAGATTAACTTTGCACAAGAAGTGGTTTAACAAAGACTTTCAATGTCACACACATGATTTAGCTTATAATTTTTATTAAACCGTATCAAATCAGTTTAAAATATATTGTACCAACTCGCAAGCTCACTGTATCGAGACACGTATCGTGGCCTATGTATCATATCGGCATCTTGTTAATGATCCCAAACCCTTAGTCTATAGTAATAATAAAGTTTCACTGCTGAACCAATCAATAAGTTAGTTTTTTTAAATAATAAAAATAGTTCCCTCTTTTTTCTAACCAAACTATGCCTCAACCAGCTGATCCCACCAATAAAAGAGCTTTAATACTAAACCTAGACACTATTTAAATGTCTGAGCCTCCACCGCCACAAAAGAGCTGCAGTTTTAATAATGATTGACACTGCCATTGTTAAACTCATTTTGTCAATAAGAAAGATCATCATATAAAACATGACGTACTCTCAGGGTCACATGATATTACAGTTACATAGTGGTGCTTATGGACAGCACAAATCAAGAATATTATGTAAATATATTATTTTTTACCTTTCATATGGTACCAAACATGTATTTTATGAAGCTTCTACAATTTTTAACTGCAAAGTTTTTTTTTTCCATTTTTAACTTCAGATAAAAAGACAATGAGTTGAGACACCAAAGTTTCAATAAATGTTATTTGAACACAGAGTAGAGGAGCACAAGTCTACAAAATTTCAGCCCTCTGTGTGTGATACTCACGGAATATCGACCTGTGAAAATGGCCGAGAAAAAATTATGTGATTTTGGGTCTGTAATTTGACACATACTCCCCTCACTAAATGAGCTGTAACTTGAAAAGTATTGATCGAAAATGACAAAAACTTCACAGAGTTGGTACATGATCGTGAGGGACCAGCTTGTAATTTTTTCTAAACTTTTAAAAAACATGATGCGTTAGATTTTCTGGAAATGTGATGAAATGGCGTGGAATGAGCCCTATGCTGTATTTATTTTGTATCTGGAGTCATGTGACGTAGTATAAGAGTCAGACAGAAGCACATCGTTGCTTTAATGGGATCGTTAAAGGGGCTGGAGGTAGATAAGAGTTGCTTCTCCCCACTCCTTTTCAGAATGACTGATTTTTTAATATTTTTTTTAGATTATATTTGTGATTAACAATGTAAAATAATTGTCTTTGTGTACCTGTTGATTACTGCACAATAATGCAATTTATCATTTATGGAAACATCTGAATAAACTTATCAAAATGGTGATGAACATGTGAGTCAGTATAGTCACATTTTCTTTGTGTTTCGGTCGCTTTTAAGCAGCTTTTCTGTATTTTACCAAAACAAATGTCAGTTTATGTTTGTCTTTACTGCTGGCAGGGATCAGATTGGTCAAAAATAGAGACACCTGGAACATTTCCTTTATATAAAACCCACTGATTTGTCCCAGTTTTACACATCTGCAGGGACAGGGAGACACGGGGCTCAAACCTGGGACTGTCCCGGGGAAATAGAACCGTCTGATGAGCCTGTGCATTGTTCTTCCTGAGTTGGTCACAAAGTCTGATGCTCCACTTTAGATTTCAATTTCAACTGCGCTCACGTAAGAACAATAACCACAACAAAGCTGAAACTAAGCACCACGTTACTTATGTGTTAGAAGAATATCTGACTCAAATCTGGTGTTTATTGGTTTAGTAGTTTCATAAATATGTGAAGATGAAGTCCGCAGTGCGCTCTCTTGTATGAATAGGCTAACATGAGCACGCTGCGGCTCGTCACTCACTTCAGCCCGGGTTGGCTCCTCCCGGCCCGGATCTTGGTGATTTTTATCGGTGTTCCGGTGATGCAGCTGAGGGCCGCGGAGACTCTCAGAATCTGCCCGCCCTGTGAGCAAACAGAAGCGGGTAAAAGAGGGAAAAGCAGCGGCGCGGAGCGGGGCTAAGCTAACGATGCTAACCGGCCGCATTCATCTGTATACACCGCTGTTAGCACGTTAGCATCTCTGATATTTTCACTCTTTTTAAAGCGCTTTTGACGCCGGATTTGTACTTACTCCCTCCATGACACTGCCGTCTATCTCCATCGCCGCGGAGTCCATTTTAATACGAATAAATCTCTTAAATAAACCTCGGAGAGCAGCTGCTGGATTCAGCTCAGGCACAGTTTGTGATGCCGGGGTTCTACTTCCGGTGAAAGTTCAGAACGCAACAATAAAAGCCCGCACTTCCGCTACACGTCCAAAATAAATAAACATTTAACAACAAATACGATATTTACGCTTCTGCTCGACATCGGCTCAATTTAACAGATTATAAAGTTTCAGAAACAGATCTTAGAAAAAAAATCTATTCATTTTCAGAAATTCAATGGGAAAATGAAGTTTACTCTTGGAAAGTGCTTATGGTCAAACATAGAAAACAAAAAGATACTCAACAACAACAATCTGTGTGTCATTTGTTCATTTGTTTTTCAAAATAAAACCAATAATAAGGAAATGAAAACAAACAAACAAAAAACTATTGTGTTTAAATGAATAATGGAAAAAACAAATAAAGGCCAGACTCAGTCCTTGTCTAGTCCTGGTTTAAGTCCTGGTCTCAGTCTCGGTCTGGTTCCAGTCTGGTCTTGGACCTGGTTCAGTCCTGGTTTAGTTCATTATCCGTTTTTTCCTTTATTTATATAAACACAAAATCGAAAACTGAAAAAACAAATCATTTTTTCATTTTGTTTTTGGAGACAAATAATTCTTTTCTTTTTTTACTATTGAAAAACTGGTCAAATACAGTACAAAGGGTTTATTTTCATAATACAAATCCTTTAATGATTTTCACTGGCAAATATTTTAATCTCTTTGGTTTTAGCGTCACCAGATTTACCAACAGCGAAATAAGGAAACATTTTCTCTGTGAATCTGTGTTTGTGAGAGCAGATCAGAGACATGTCACCAGCGTCAAAGAAAAACACTTTCCCTTCATCACAGTCCAGTCGAACTCGGATCCTCTGAGGTCTCCTCTTCAGGGACAGAAGTTTAAAATTGACATCACAGTATTCTCCATTTTTAAACCTTAAACACCAGACTCCATTTTCTGGAGTACCAGATCTCTTTCCCTTCCTGTCGACAGATTCTTTGGCCAAACCAATGGCCCAGTATGGATGATCTCCCACCTCCACGTCCCACTGGTGAGAGCCAGAGCTGAAGCCCTCACTGCCCAGAACCAACACTGGCATAGTTACAGAATCTCTCTGGATTTTCAGGGACCTGTTGTTTAGTTTCTCCACCTCTCACCCCCCTCAGATCCTCAGACAGATGGAGTCGTCTGTGTGCAGTGTTTGGGTCCAGAGTGACTGGACTGTAGCTCACCAGGGCTCTCATCTTGTTCCAGGCGTTGAAGGCCACGTTGGCCAGGACTTTGGCCTGGTTTATCAGGAGTCCTGGTCCCAGCTGTGGGCTGTGCTGTGAGAGCAGAGTCTGTGTGTCTTTGTGAGTGTGTCTGTACTGTGTGAGAAAGTCCACGCTCTGTCTCTGCAGTAGATCTTCCACAGTCTGGAGGTTCTGCTCCATAGTACACACAGCTCCTCCCTGATCTGCTGTAGCTGTGCTTCTATGGCCTGGGCCTGTCTGCTCTGCTCCTGTCTCAGAGCTCTGAGCACAGACTCCTCCTCCTGTTGGAGGAACCGGTGTAACCGCTCAAACTCCGCCCTGATGTGGCGTTCACAGAGCTCCACCTGCGCGTGTGCCAGCTCCTGTATTTGCTCACACTGAGTGTGTGCGTGTGAGGCCTGCTCTCTCCTCTGGGACAGAGACTGCTGCTGTGAGCGCAGCTGCTCCTTCACTTCACTCACAGCTGAGTCCACAGACACCACCTTATGCCCCGAGTGAAGAGAGAACTCACACACAGGGCACAGAGGGCGCCTCTCGTCCAGGCAGAACAGAGGAGGCACCTCTGGGTGTGAGGAGCACACCACAGGCCTCTCTCCTCCTGGAGCCTGCTCCTTCTGTGTAAAGGACAGAGTCAGTTCCTTCAGAGCAAAGTTCACATCTAGATGTTCTTTTGAGGACTTCCTGCGACACACGGGGCAGGTCCTGGTGCTGTTCTGGTCCCAGTAGTTGTGTAGACAGACGGAGCAGAAGCTGTGGTGACAGCCCAGAGACACTGGCTCTTTAAAGGTCTCCAGACAAACAGGACAGGTCAGAAAGTCCTCCACTGCAGAGATCTTCTCCATTTGAACCAAAGAGTCCAGACTCACACGGCTGTGTCCTCTGTGTCCGACGCCCTGACAAACACTGACTCAACACTTCCTCTTTACTCTGAATGTTCCTTCCGTGTTCCTCTCACATGTGAGAGGAACAGCAGCAGCAGCAGCAGCAGCAGCAGCAGCAGGGGGCGCTGTTGCTCCATTTTACACCTTTACTGTCTTTAGTCTGTTTGTCTGTCCTGAGTTTTAGGTCTCGTGTGAGCGCTTCTGAGGTTACAAGTAGGTGAGAGTTCAAAATAAACCACACTGTGTCTTTAATGAACATGTTTTACTCTTTTCTAAATGTGAAGGGTTCAGTGCAGAAAAGAAAAAAACTGTATTAAGATGAAATGTATTTTAAAAGTGAACAGCTGAAGGGTCTGCGTCCCCAGATCTTCTGGATTCTTCTGGTTTTGACTCTGAAGCTTCTGTTCACCAGAGACGCACTGATACGATACTGATACTGATACTGGTATCGATATCGGTTCTGTCTGTTTTTACTGTTTGATACATTTGTGTAATAAGAGGATTTAGTGTTTGAGGTTTTGCCCAAAACACCTCGTCATATTTTTAAAGCTCTTTTGTTCTTACTTTAAATGATAAATAAAAGTTACAAAACACATTTTGTTTAGTTTTTTCCATCTGCTGTTTGTATTTAAATGAAATAAATGACATGTTCAGTCTCTGGTATCGGTGGATATCGGGGATCAGCAGATACTCAGTGTTTCCCATTAACAGACGAGACTGTGGCGCCCCCTGCAGGCTAAAAACAAGACCAAAGAATGTAACACAAATGATGATACTTTAATTTTATAATATTGTCATGAACAGAGGCGTAACTAGACAGAATCTGTATCAGTTTGGGTTTTTTTTAGTCTCGGTATAAACCACTGGGAAACTCTGGACACTCAAAGCCAAAGTATCGACATCGGTATCGAACAGAAGAAGCTGGATCGGCTCACGGCTCATTGAGATGAAGCGCTCGGCTGCGGTTCAAAGATTTGGTTGATTCTAAAATATTCGTGTGACCTCAGATAAAACCATTAGATCCTCCAGCTCCCGGGGACGTGGTCATGAAGAACAAAGGGTTCACAGTTCGAGACGCCGCCTGAAGGAGTCACTCTAAATATTCCTTCCTCCCTCGTAAAACAGTGTTGGGAAGTTTACTTTTAAAACATATTACAGATTACAGATTACACACACCAAAATGTAGTTTGTAATGGAATCCATTAAATTACTTAAGGTGAGTAATGTAATCTGAATACTTTGGATTACTTTGGATTTGCTGTAGAGAAACAAAGACGAGGAAATCTTCACATGAGAAGTTTTGTCTGATAAAAAACAATAAAAAAGCTGAGTCTTTACTGAACCAAATTAAAAATATTATTGATAGAAGACGAAGAAACACAATCCATGCAGCATGATTTAGTTCAGTTAAGTCCTGGTTTAGTCCTGGTTTAGACCTAGTTTAGACCTGGTTTAGTCCTGATTTAGTCCTGGTTTAGACCCAGTTTAGTGTCCGGTAATGAGTGGAATTACTGGGAAAAAAAAAAAAAGGGGATTTAGCCTGAAATGTGAAAACAGGAAAATCCCTCTGTTTAATCCATTTATTTCAGCAAAGTAACTGTAATCCAATTCCCATTCACTGAAACAGTAACTGTAACTGAATACATTTACTCATCATTTGTACTCTGATTACTCCGGTACATGTAATCTGTTACTCCACAACACTGGTTGTAAATGGCGACTTCACCCAGGAGGAGGTTAACAACAACATTTCAAGGACGAGTTCAAGATCCTTCAGTACAAACTACATCCCACACCAGGTCATGAGGAATGGAAACAAAATCCTTAAAGTGTTTGTGTCTGACCAATCTCCAAACCCCCGTCCTCCACGAAACTGAACGAAAAAAAAAAAAACAATAAATAAATATTCTTCATAAAAGTAGCAAAGCAAGTTTATGAAGTTTAAAGTTTTGATGAGAGCAGTGACAGAGCGTGTGGGAGAACGTGCTCCTCGGAAAATGTTTCTAGAATTTCAATATTTGAAGCTCGTGTTGGGTCTTTCACCACCTGCAGGAAAACCAGATCTTTTGGTGTCCAGACTAACAAATGGCAAGGGTAGTTTTTTGTTTTTTAGTTTTTTTTTTTAGAGACCCGGTCACATCATGGCAAGGCAAGTTTATTTGTACAGCACAATTCGTACACAAGTCAGTCATTCAAAGTGCTTGGTTTATTTTATTTTATTTATTTCATTTTGTGTTATTTAATTAATTTCATTTCATTTCATTGTGTGTTCATCAGGATGACTGTTTGTGTTGTACCTGTTTTGTCCAGCAGGGGTCGCTCCAGGATCACGCTGCAGGCTCGTGCTCTGCTGCAGTTCCTCTGTCCGCCTGGAGGGGCCGCCACTGTGACTCCGCCACAAACACCGCAGTGACATTTACAAGAGTCACTCTAAATTGTACTTTTCTAGCTGCGTACTTTGACTCCTACTTGAATATTTGTACTGAAGTAACAGTACTTTTACTTTGACTGAAAACACCAAGCTCCAGTTTTATTATCCAAACCTCAAAACACTCCGTTACACTTTATGATGTCATCAAGTGGTAGTTTTCAAGTTTTCAGTTTTTACTTTTAGTTCAGTTGAGAAACACCAGGACTGAAAAGCAGAAGAAGAAGAAGCAGTAGCAGTAGTAGTAGTAGTAGTTGTAGTAGTAGTAGTAGTAGTAGTAGTAGTAGTAGTAGTAGTAGTAGTAGTAGTAGTAGTAGTAGTAGTAGAAGTAGTAGTAGCAGTTGCAACTGTAGTAGTAGTAGTAAGTAGTAAGTAGCTAGTAGTAGTAGTAGTAGTAGTAGTAGTAGTAGTATAGTAGTAGTAATAGTAGTAGTAGTAATAGTAGTAGCTGTAATAGTAGTAGTAGTAGTAGTAATAGTTGTTACAACTGTAGTAGTCGTAT